CCCATCACACAGATTGCATTTAAAAACATATGAGACGCAGTGAAAAGGAATAAACCTCCACAAATTCGTGACGCGTTTTCTAAACGTTTAATCTGTTTTAACATTGCATGGCTTTCTATACATCCGCTGTCTGCGTCACTCATAGTACGTGCCTATATCGTGCGCTATATCGAACATTTTTTCTTTCGTTATCAAAGAAGGTGTACCATCGGTAAATATCGATACCGTTTTATCGCCCAGGCCTAGTAGCACATTCTGTGGAAGTGGACTTCATATCTGTAAAATCTTTATGTCTTTATATAGACTTTATATCTACAATAAAGAATGTCCCCTTTAGGCACTGTCACATGCTCGCTAACAGTCTCTTCCCATCATTCCTCTCCAGAGCCTCCAAGAAATCGTGAGCTTCAGCATTAACCCATTTTCCTGTCCCATCGGTTTATCACGCACTGAAAGCTGCACACGCGCATGCAAGCGCTCGTGTCCACAGTAATCATTAACATATGGAAGCAGGAGGTTGTGCATCCTCTGATCAGCCGTGCTTTTATGATTAGTCATGTGGGTTTAGACGTTAACCTGCATCAGCAGTGTGGTGTGGCTCTTTAATTGGTGCCGCTGTGTCTCACTTTCACTCAGTCAGCGTTACGGCTCTTAAAGGTTGGGACTACACTCCTGTATCTCTATCTCTTTTTACCAGTTCCAGGAATCAGTACCTAAAGCTGTTCTTAGTTTCTGAACGCACACCTATACCTCGTCTGTCTGAAATTCTCACTAGTCAACAGATGCCTGTCAGATTGTGTTGCAGGAAAGGGTTTTTTTTTTTTTTTTTTTGTAATTGATGCAATGGTTTTGGTCAAATGAGGGATATTAACGTTCTCTTTGCTCACAATGGCTCAAGAATGCATAATATTATAATGATAAAATATGCTCATTTACATCATAATTAAGTTTACAATAATAATAGGTTTAAATGTTTAATAATAGTCAAATTATGCTAATAACAATAATAATAATATATTATTATTATTATTGCTACTTTAAATCAATATTAATTAAGTTACATATTGCTATTGTCACTTCATTAAGATTTTTATATTAATTGTTTTAAGAATAATGTGTAAAAATTATCATTTATAATAATAAAATAAAATAATTTATAACTATGTAATTGTAATGTTTAAATAATGATGATGTGATGATGATGATAATAATAATAATAGTTGCCTATAACAATAATAATTATTAGAATGTTGATTATTATTGTTATTTTTATAAGTATGGTTAATAAGTTATATATTGCTATTTTACTTTACATAATTTATATTTTTTAGATTACATTAATAGTTAAAAAAAATTATTTATTGTAATAACTATTTTATGTATATATAATTATTTTAAAATGTATTATAATTTTATGTAATTATACTAATATTTAAAAACACTACTACTACTGCTAATAATAATAATTATTATTATTACTGTATACTGTGATAATTTTGCAATTTGAGTAACAATCTTTTGTTTTGTTTCAGGTACAAATCTATGAGCTTGAGGAGCATAAAATTGAGACGTGGAGAGGTAAGAAATCCTTACAGGTGGTTCTTTCCAGTGTTTGCTGTTTTGTTTTCTAGATGTTATTTCATTTTTCTTTCTTTTTTTTTGACAACAGAGCTCTATCTACAAGAAACATTCAAGCCTTTAGTGAACATATCACCAGATGCAAGGTACTATGCCTTACTATGGGAAGTCACATGCTGTAGGATGATCTTATATGTTGAAGAGGACATTACAGTGAGCTGCTAGAGTTCCTTTAGTAAACCACAAACTCTTATCCTCCCATGTATTGCCCTTTCCTGTGTGCATTGTCTTGTTGGCTTATATTTTCAGTGTATTAAATAATTCAGTGCATGTTGTCTTGAAGGGCAAAACTCTGAATTTCATCAGGGTCCTCTGAAGTTGTCCTTCTGTTCCTCAGGTCACCGCAGTGAAATTGACTTTCTCCGTCTCTATATTTTTTGTGCTTCAGCATATTTGATGCTGTGTATTCACTGATCAAAAACAAGATCCACCGGTTACCTGTCATTGACCCTGTCAGTGGAAATGCACTTTACATTTTGACACACAAAAGGATCCTGAAATTCCTTCAGCTGTTTGTAAGTTCATCAATATATTCTATGTATATCATTTGTGCATTTAGTAAGGTTTCTGTTGGCTGTTTTTTGTTTTTTTTTTGCCGGGGGTTTGAGGTTTAGCTGATGTTGTAATAAAGTGAGTGAGTAGGATGAAAAAGAGCAGAGGAAGGAAGGGGTAGAGCAGATGAAGAGGAAGAAAACAGTCCCTAGATTAATGTCATCTATCTGATCACAATTCCATGGCCGTTTAAATACTTCAGCAGTGTAAACCGCTTCCATCTCTCAGGACAATGTCACAAAGATTTTGAAAGACTTGGGTTTGAAAGGTTAGTTGAAGCCTCAGCAGTACAGCTTACATAAAACTGCACTGAAACGGGAAATAAAATGTACTTTATATACTAAAAAGGTGTCAGAAAGTGTTTTTTGTTTGACAAACAGGGCGGACAGCCAATATAATTCCTATAATTACAAAAATTATTCATGTTCTTATGTTTGAATTCTAAAATATTCAAAAGCTGACAAGAGTTGCTTGTGTTTGTGTGTCTCAGGTGTGTGAGATGCCAAAGCCCGCCTTTATGAAGCAGACACTGGAGGAGCTGAGCATCGGGACCTACAGCAACATCGCCTTCATCCACCCCAACACGCCAATCATCAAAGCACTCAGCATCTTTGTGGAGAGGAGAGTGTCAGCACTGCCTGTGGTGGATGAGTCAGGTATGATTCAAGAAAAAAGCCAGATTTTGTGCATTCCAATACTCTTACACTCATGAAATGACTTATTTAAACCTTTTTTTTCTTTGTATTTTTTGCCTTTCAGGAAAAGTTGTAGATATTTATTCCAAATTTGATGTCATTGTAAGTATGTTGTGTATTTATTTTATTACTGAGTGTGGAAAAAGTTTGTCCTGTTCTCCAGACTTTCATTATCTGTTTGTGTGTTTGTAGAATCTTGCTGCTGAAAAGATGTACAACAACCTTGACATTAGTGTGACACAGGCGCTGATGCACAGGTCACAGTACTTTGAAGGGGTCATGAAGTGCAACAGATTTGAGACACTGGAAACGATAGTAGATCGGATAGTCAAGGCTGAGGTGAGCTTTCCTGCTGCCTTCATTTCTGTCTTTAAGGTTTATCTGCAACCTTGTTATTATGACCAAAAAATTGATATGTACTTGGTTTTATACGTTTTCTTTAGCTGTTGTAGTTTACTATTCAGGAGATATGCTAGAGCAGTTCTTTGTTGTATGTTTTCTGCAACTACTCTTGCTCTATATAGAGGAACAGTTTTTGAGTTGTTCTTGGTAATTTATTCCAGAACAGCTCTTTGGAATAGCTATTATACATCTGCTCTTGGTAATAGTCAACAGTTGTACTAGCTCTTTTTAGAGGACATTTTGTAGAGTTGCTCTTGGTGCTATATTCTAGAGCAGATCTTGCTGATAGATAGGCATGTCTTCATAGTCTTTTTAGATATTCTATAGTTTCTCTAGTTCACTGCAGATGAGATATGCTGGAGCTGTAATAGATATTGTACAAATGTTCTTGCTCTTTATAGTGGAAAAATGTTTGGGTTGTTCTTAGTAATTTATTCTAGAGCATCTCTTAGATATACATCTGCTCTCGTAACATTTAGCAGGTGCTTTACCCCTTTATAGAATTTTTATAAAGTAATGGATATTCTGGAGCAGCTCTTGGTAAGATATTTTATACAGTGCTCTTGAAAACAGGTGATATTATAGCCTGGCTCTTTTTTTCTAGATATACTATAGCTGCTGTTGTTCACTATAGATATTCCAGATAGATATTCTACAACTGCTGTTTGTCTTTATAGAGGAAAATGTTCAAGTTGCTCTTGGTAATGTATTCTAGAGATAGAAGAGATATTCTAGATCATCTGGGTAATAAATGCTGTAGAGCTGCTCTTTGTTTATTGTGGTAATAATATTCTTGCGTCACACTTGTTTCTAGATATTCTTTAGCTGTTCTAGGTCACTATAGAAGAGATATTCTACATCATCTGGTTAATAGAGGCTCTAGAGCTAATTTGAGCCTTTATTATGGTCATATTCTAGCGTTACTTTTGTTTCTAGATATTTTGTAGCTGTTCTAATTCACTATAGAAGAGATATTCTAGATCATCTGGTTAATAGAGGCTCTAGAGCTAATTTTAGCCTTTATTATGGTCATATTCTAGCGTTACTTTTGTTTCTAGATATTTTGTAGCTGTTCTAGTTCACTATAGAAGAGATATTCTAGATCATCTTGGGTAATAGATGTTCTAGAGCTGCTCCTAACCTTTATTGTGATGATATTTTAGTTCAGCTCGTTTCTAGATATTCAAGAGCTTCTATAATTCACTATAGAGGAGATATGCTTGAGTTGCTCTTGATCTTTGCTTTTGGTTCTCAATATTTTAGAGCATATTTTGGAGCTACTCTAGGTCAGTACAGAGGAGATATTCTAGAGCTGTTGGCTTTCCTAGGTACTCTAGGGCTACTCTAGATGCTGATGTCTCTCTGTCCTCGGTCAGGTGCACAGGCTGGTGGTGGTGGATGAGAACGGCAGCATCATGGGCATCGTCTCTCTGTCGGACATCCTACAGGCACTCGTTCTCAACCCCGCAGGTATCAATGCTCAGCATTCCTAAAGCACATTTCCAGCAGGACCCTCCTCTCAACCTCTCGCCTGAGCCACAGGTATTACCGCTACTGCTGCCACTGCTGGGGTCAAGAAGACGGTGCATGACCGCTGCCTGGCTCATGATGTGTGCGAGGATGGCATGTGCCAACTTATACTTTCTGTTTCCACCACAGAACCAGACGTGATTGGTTTTGATTCCAGAGGGCAGTGTGTGTGTGTATGTGTGCACGCCCACATTTCACCGCATATGATTTTGATTAATGAGACACTTGCAGTACATCAGAGCCCCTCCCACTGCAGGGCTTCCCGTCTGCTGATGGATAGTGTCCTGCAGTAACTCAACCACTCACTCTGTCCTCTCAAACCATGCATACACATAATGTCGTAGGTCTTCCCAGTAAGATCATTATACATTTCTGCTCATAAATTTATATACCCCTTGCAAGATATGGAAGATGTTATTTTAACGAGATAAGATCATAAAAATTGCATGTTATTTTTTTAATACTGTCCTGAATAAGCTGTTTTGCATAACAAATGTTTACATATAGTGCACAAGACAAAGTAATAATTGAGTCCAAAAGTTTGAATTTAATAATAATTTAATGTCATTACCTGGATGATCAACAACTGTTTTTATGTTTTGTGATAGTTGTTCATGAGTCTTTTCTTGTTCTGAGCAGTTAAACTGCCCACTTTTCTTCAGAAATACCCTTCAGGTCCTGCACATTCTTTAGTTTTCTAGCATCTTCTGCATATTTGAACCCTTTCCAACAGTGCCTGTATGATTTTAGGATCCATCTTATCACACTTATACAACATACAACTATTACAAAGGGTGAAAACGTTCACTGATGCTCACGAAGGAAACACGATGCATTAAGAGCAGGGAGTGTAATTTTTTTTCTTATTTTAATTTTATTTTTTCATTTAATATTGCCCTTCAGAAGCTACTTAAGATGTTTCCCAGATTTCCAATTTTGTTACAATTTTGAACAGTTTGCATATTTTGCAAGTGGTACGTAAACATACGAGCAGAACTGCATAACCAATGAAATATGATGTACATCTATATACAACAGATCAGATGATGTGACAAAATACACTTCTCTCCGTTTTGGCAAAAAACGCAAACATTCTGAATTTCCTTCTGAGAGGTCACTGTGTGCTGGGTGCCTGCCTTGTTGGCTGTGAATTTATAACACTGCATATTAATTGCTTCTGTGAAGAGTGTTATGAATCCTAAGTAGCAGATGTGATGCTGCTAATATTGCAAATAGTATGCGCAGATCAAAAGACATTCTGCCCTGTGGTACAGTCCTGCTCTGGAGATGGACCTTCCTGCAAAGTCAAGTTTCAACTCATATAAAACACTCTGAACCAGGAAATCAAGATGATTTTGATTGAGCGCTGATGGATGATGGACACAGAAGTGCTAAAATGCTCAGTTCTGGGTTTTAGCCTAAAAAAATATGCCATACCTATTATAGTTCTTATTACTAGCAGGTGTATCGCAGGCTGTCTGGAACTAAGTTCGGCAGGAATCCAGATCGCCGAGCAGCCCCTGTTGAAAATACATGTTCGTAAGCTGCCTGCTAGTGGTTGTAAGCAGTATTGCAACTAAAAACTTACCTCTCTTTTACAGTACATAATGTCTAGTCTCTTACCTTTGCAGGTATGACCAGGAAGGAGAGCAAAGCGGAGACGGAGTGATGCGTGCTGAGATTGCTGGGTCATGTGACGTTGCTGTCAGAGACTGAAGTAGACGCGGAGACCACAAGTTTGGGCCACATGTCAGAATGAAAGCGTGGAACCAGCGAACTTGACCTACATGTGTGCTGTTAGAGGGCAAAAGAAGGGGTTTATGGGTACACGGACTGCTTGATTCGTCTGTTATCTGATTGATACATAGATGGACGTATTGGCCGCATGGGGCAATTAAGGTGAATCATCTCTTATTCAGAAGGATACTGTGAACTCTGCCTATTATATCACACTAAGCTTCTGCACGCACACTATTGGCGCTTTTCCACTGCATGGTACGGCACGGTATGGCTCGGTACGGTTCACTTTTGGGGGGTTTTCCACTGGGTACAGTACCTGGTACCTGGTACTTTTTTTAGTACCACCTCGGTTGGGGTTCCAAGCGTACCGTACCGTTACCAAAACGTGACGTGTAAACTCTGCTGATCACGGATTGGCCGGCGCAACTATAATGACATGTGCATAACCCCGCCCACTCTAAAGCGGTACTAAACTGCAGTGGAAACGCAAACCGAGCCGTGCTGTGCCGTACTGAGCCATACCGAGCCGAGTCGTACCACGCAGTGGAAAAGCGCCATATGATAACTATACTTTTACCTAGTCCTAAAACTACGCCATCTGGTGTCTGAGTAGTGGTCTGCACACAGACTACGGATTGTACCATAATCGCCTCTGTTGAAGGGGGGTGTCTGTGCGTTTGCAGGGCATTCAGTAATAATCTCAGTATTCAGTGCATGTTATGACTGTTTGTTCCTCGTGAATATATACGATTTTCGGCTTGTGGCGTATGAGCCCGGTTCACATATTTGTACTTTTGACTACTCCTGAATTTAGAAACTCGTTTAGTCTTTCTCCGCCACAGTCCCTTTGTAAATGGAGACAGAAATGGTTTCCTCTGTATCGGTCTATGGTGCCTTCTGTCCAGCAGTTGTCGCCCACTACTGGTTGCCAATAGAACAAGATTAACTGAATGTTTAAATATCAAAGTGAATACTACAGTTGTTAAAAAAAAAAAAAAAGCCCCTTTTTGCTGTTTTAGTGTGCGTCACTAATTTTATTTATTGCAGAGCTCTACATTTCTTCACTTTGAGTGTTCATTATTTTCTTGATGTTTTTGAAATGATGCTGTATATGATAATTAAAATGTTTATTTATGTATATTTAGCACTTTTGTAATTTTGAAAGTGATATCTAAGTGTGAGATGGAAAGATCTATGGAGCCCCTATGCAGTAAAACCACGTGCTGATCAATGACTTGATGTTCAATGCAATTCAACTTTAAAATCCCACTTTTTTTCCTGTCCATGAGGTGACTGAACTCTTTTTGTATCGACTGTACTGTACACGCACGCAGAGCTTCTGTCTGAGGAATCTATAAGTGCCAGAGAAAGTCTATTTTTCTGTGTTTTAAATGTTGTTTGTAGTACTTCATATTTTAAGTTCTCCATGTTTTATAGGTATGTTAGTGTTGTCGTTATAAAAAGATAAATGTCCAGAGATAAATGCATATCACTGGCATTAGATGCTGATGGATAACCATGCTTAATTAAATTAATTAAAAATTAATTTTTATTATATTTTACATTTAAATAAAAAAGAATAAACTAAGTCTCTAAAACTTTTCTGTATTGAGATGGTTGGCAAATTAGTAAAAAGGAAAGCATGTTTACATGTGTTTAGTGTATGCTTTTGAAATAATAACAAAAATATGGAAATGATTTGGCCTATGAAAAGTTTTAAAACAGTATTCAGTAATATTCTGGGTTTCCCATGTATAAATCTGTTAAATAATATCTTTCATGAATGTGACTGTTTTTGCCGACTTTACTCAATCGGTAGTGACAGTTAAAAAGAAAATTCCAAAGTACTGTTTGTTTCTAAATATAAATAAATGAAATAAAGTATTAATAAAGCATTAATTAGAATAATTACATATTAAATGATTTTGATTGCAAAATGCAGCAGTGGCGGGAGAGTAAATCCAAAGACTTTCCCTGCTGAAACCCCCCCCAGCTAAAACCAGCCTAAGTCAAGTACACTGCTGTTCCATTTGCAGAATTACCGGACGTGTGTCCTCCCATCCCCAGGAGTTCGCACTCCCGAGTTGAACTTGCGAAGTCCGAATTACCAAGGACGCAAGTCCGAACTTTGCGTACTTGGTATTGAGATACAGCTTAGGACTGCGGATATACAAACCATAAAACAAAGCAAAGAGACTTTATTGGGTTTTGCCGGTTTTTTTTTTTTTTTTTTTTTTCAGCAGGGTTGAAAAACACCCTGTTTACGTTTCATCTTCTTCCTATCACAGTGATTGGTTGTAGCCCAGCGTTTTTCGCTCGACATTTGCATAAAGTCGAGGAATGCCCAATCTTTTTGACGCTCTCAA